AAATATTGCAAAAACTGTGAAAAAAGGAAAACAAAAATAGAGTAAATTTTTAGAGTAACGGGAGAAACTAGAAAGTAAAAAAATTTTGTTATTTAGTTGATTTTTAAAGTAAACTTTACTATTTCTTAATTCAAAGATTAAATACATTTTTTAACGTTAAGTATTAATAAGTTGCGCTGTAAATGACAGCCACTTTCCAATAAGTTCACTTGAAAAAAATCAATACCACATCTGTAAAAGTCCTAAAGGTCTCTTTTTAAAATTATTACTATATACAATTATTTGAGAATACTTTGTATAACATATTTTTTTGCTATTATATAACAAATTTTAGTGTGTTTCACGATTCACGTTATATCATGTATTATTTATGTGATGTGACAAATCATGAAATGCAAAGAGGTGCGATTAGTAAAAGATTAAAGAGGTATCCATCAAGAGCATCATAGAGCCGCAATTATATAAAAACTGTGACTTTTTATGAGGTTTTAAGTGAGTATTTTTAGCGTGTATATGCGTTAAGAGGAAAGACTTGTCTCGTTGGATTGTTAGATGTTCATTGCTTAATGCAAAGTCTAGTTAATTAAATGCTTGTACATGATGACACGATCATAATCGAAAGATATAATTATATGAATACAATCACAGAAAATGCATATACTCTTAGTGAATTCTATGATTGCATTTATTTATATTAATAAACATGGTATTAAATCTCATAATATAGACAAAAATATCATGTAAAATCCAAAACTTCATATTATGATAATCATTAGAATAAAGCATACAAATTATATTTGAATCTATTTCTCTTTCAAATAAAAATATTTTACTTAAAAATTTCCATTATATTAATTTTTACTATTCCTATTACTATTTCCTTTGATATTAATTTTTTTTATCTTTTTTATTCTAATGTGTATAATGCGATATCTCTTTTTAGAAATAGAAATATGTAGTTTATATGACGGTATTCAAAATTATCCACTTTAGAAATAAAGAGAAAATATCGTAAATGTATTAAACTTGATGAAAGATGCTGGTCTAAACCGGTCTCTTATGTAGCTATTATCTACACGAACACAATCTATACATTATGTTTTTATTACACATTGCTTAAGGCAGATATATAATTCACCATTCACTGAATCGCAGCTATTAATGCATAATAGTCTCGTTACATTTATAACGAGAAGACCATCGGTAATGGAAGTAATCGGAAATGTTTATATCGCCTAACTATCTGTGCTATCTTAATTGAATTTGAGTATTTCGCGATTAGAGAATTTTGCTGCATATTAAATTTCGTCTGCAGCAGCGAAGCAAGATGCGACGTCAATATTGATTTACCTTCGACTCGATTTGCCTTTCGATAGAGAACATGATAAATTGAAGTCGTGCAGTGAAGGCACAATCACTATACAGGGCATATACCGTATAAGAGAGACAGTTTCTGTGATACAATTCGAATATAATTTCCATTCTTCCTCTTTCAGATTATTGTAAATAACTTTTCCACGTGATTTCCTTTAAATATGTAACATACAAAAGATAGAATATTTCGAATAATTTATACATATATGCATAAATACATACATTTATTAATACTCATATTCATAAAAAATTTTTAAATGACGAAATTTTTAATAAAAATCAAATATAAGCAATTCCACTAATCGGAAACTACCGTACATAAATAAATAAAAATGTACTACACTTTAAAAGAGATTGACATCATCTGTTATCTGACAGTCTATTATACCTCGTTCAATCTAAGATAACATCTGCGGAAGCACGCATTCGATGTTCAACCTTGTCGAAAACAGCCAGTCAGGTCGTTCTCTTGCTCTGCCATTTGACAAATTAAAAAAGCTGTAGTAAATCGAAAGTAAATCTTGATGCTCTTTTCTCATCATGGATTTTTGAGAGGTGGATACATCTCGACTCGGATGCTTTTTGCCGCGGTCGACCGCAACATCCAGTGGGGAGGTTTCTTAAAATAGATTCCAGTGTTCTGGCTTAGTTACATATGTATACATACGCATATATACATTTATATCGAGTGATGCATACAATGCCATCGCAATGAACTAGAGGTTTCTTTAGACGAGATTTAACTCTACAAAAGCTGGACATGTACACGTATTTATATCATAATCCGTTGCAATTGTTGCATTAAGATCTACAATTCGACTGTCTGTCACCCTTTAAATAAGAAGATTCAGTCCAAGATTGTTGAAAAGTGTCAAAAATATTCTGTAACTGACAGCGTTGTAATCAAAAAACTTTTACATTTAATTCATAATTTGATTTCTACTATAATTTTAAGAAAGTAAAGAATAAAATCATTTTATACTTTTTATAAAACTATAGTAGAGGTCAACACGCTTAGTAAAAATATTCTTAACGGGAGTATATGTAACTATTATTCACAAAAGAAGAGAAAAATATATCTAGAAAGATACTAAACATTTATATACTAAGCAAAATCTGATTTATTCGCTTACAAAAAAATTTCTCTCAATTTATTTTCTTGTATTATAAAGACATTTTGAAAAGATATTTCAAAAAATGATGAGCTTGCATTCGCAATTTTGCCCTATGTCTTTAGAAAGTTTGGCTAGTTCTTATTTTTTGTATGTTAGACTTGTGATATCTCGCCGCCCTTTCGTGTATCAAGAAGCAGAGCACTTCTCATTGGTTATTCTCGTTTATCTATTGTTGTTATCGCTTCCTTCATGAATTACCATTTCGGAGAAACACGAGAAACGTCTTTCACTTTATAGATAACTGCGCTCAAGGTAGACCGGACGTTCGTTATTTTTACATGCCTTTTCGACGCTATTTTCGACGTCTCGCTTATTTATTTGCCCGTCACGTCACTTGCAATTATCATGGACGCGCTTTGCGATTTAATATGCGGCCGCACTCCGTCGCGTTTTAGATCGACGTGATAAAATTTCCGACAATTTGTTTTTCTTCCGTCGAATACGCATGCATGGACGGGCAACGAATGGCGGAGCGTGACGGAAATTGCATTATTTTCGGTTATTGCTTGGGGGAACAAAACGAATGTGTTCGATAAAACCTATGCCATGGAAGCTGTATATCGCTATATAATTGCGGTAGAAATAATTTATATATTACAGTGAAAATCATCAACATGTATAATAATAAAATAATAAAATTTCATTTCGTATCCGTCAATAGATAATAAAGTTTCCATTTCCAATACACTCTGAATGGCTTTCCAATTTAGTCTAATGAATTAATTTGTTTTCGCCATTATATTTTTATTTCATATTCTCTATTAATAAACTTATATAATTATAAAATAGTGATAAATACAGCCAGATGAATCTAAATATGTTTAATTATACAATCTAAAAATTCTTAATTTTAAATATAAAGCACCAGTTTTTTTAATATCTTTAGAGATAGGTGTGTTATAAATTACACAGATTGAATTATTTCGGGAACTTTGAAGCTATTTGGAAATAAAAAACAGATTTTTTTAAATATCTCTAACTTTTCGCATGACAATTTTATATGGCAGGAGGTCATCGGTCTATGAATGGTCGTTTAATGATGGACTGAATGATTTTGTATGCCCTACGGAACGTGATCAGAATCGACAAGGTTGTCTCCACGTAGATTGCCCTCAGCTGTTCCGCCATCAACTGTGGTTCCTAACAATTTCGGTAACACAATTTGATCTCGGAACACGGATTTGATTTATGTCGTGCGCGTAAAGCGTGAGAGAGCGATACATTGATCTCTCGCTGCATTCGACATCCTGCTCGAGCGTTTGAATTGACGCTATCGATATCTATATAATACGTGAGAGAAACAAACGCCGATTCTTGCATGTCAATAGGAAAAATTTACTATTGATCTATACATCAATAGTTCCACGCCCTCATACACGAGAGAAAACATTTATTTATTGCTCTTCGCAATTTTACACCATCGAAGTGCTGAGATATTCCATGATCTATCTATTTCGTGGATCATGTTGGTAATATATATGCTCGATGTCACGAGAAAACGTATTACTATATCAAATTTTATATCAAATGAATTGTCAATATAACAACAATCGGCGTGATGCATTATAGATCTGTTGCCTAAGTCAAAGATCTATTTTGGAGATATATAATTATAAAAAATACATGTTATTATATTATTTTATGAAAGATTTTCCTTAAATTTAATATATTTAATTATTTCTTATCTCCTAAAATGACAAAATTTTAAATTCTCTATAAAATATTATTTTTATTTATAACAACTTTTATAAAATAGAATATTATAAATAAAATTGGAGCAATAATGATAGAATCGTATTCATAAAATATAATGGATATATTTGGCGAATAAGCTGATATTTCTTAAGTCAAGTGAGAGATTAAAATCTTAAAATTAATCAAAAAATGAAATTTATATTAATTTACCCATTTTGCGAAATTTACGTCTTCGAAATGTTTTCTCTTTTATTATATTCTTTCGGAATACTGCTGGAAAATATACCGAAGCACGTGCCACGGCATCCATTATCACAACGAATCGCCATGCTACATACGAAATGTTGCTGTGAATATTTCCATAATAATATGTATACGGGAATAGCGAGAATCGCTTCGTCGCAAGGTACTGCGCCGCGTTGTTGCTCCAATTCTACAAATCGAGCTTTGATGTATTCCACAGAGCGGCAAAGAGTTACTTCGACTATATATATTCGTAGTCTCTTTTTCAATAAAAAGAAATGATATTCAATTGCATTCTAGCAGAGGAAAAATAATTCATCGCCAAAGACTCACGTTAAATACATTACTCGAACACATTTTGTACAGTTGAAGAAAGTCTAGGATAGTGGGATGATACTTTGAATGATACCTTGATGATACTTTTTCTAGAATACAATGTACCAATGTTGCAACAAGTGACAAGAAAAATATTCGAGAAAAATATTCGGCTGTTGAACGACCGATCTGTTGCAGGGAGGGCGAAGGCGGTGGCGGTCGTTCTGTGACCGGCGCCGGTGGCGGCGGTGGAGGAGGCGGCGGTCGACGGGCACCGAGCCTACGGCTGGTGAACGGAAGAGCGACCACCGGGGTGAGTTTGCACACCAGCAGCACCGAGTCTGTGCGCTCTCCCCATCACCAGCTCGGCCAGCAGCAGGCCGGCAACAACAACTGCCAAGCCGGTAATAACCCCGCCGCGAACAATCATCCACGGCTCAACAAAGATGATAGCATCAAGATCAGCATCGAGAACACCAACACTTGCACAGACAGCCTCGTCACTGCTCTAGACGACGAGACCCTGCTCATCACTGATTTCCTGGGCGATACAGGTAAGTCATTGATTAGCATTTTAAATAGTTTAGACAAAAAATCATGATTGTGTATGTGTGTGATATTTGTGTTTTTTTTTTTCGCGAACACAACACGAGCTCTCTAAAAGTGAATCAGTGTATTATCGCTGAAAAACAGTAAATAGTCACTGATTACAGCAGTTATAAGTACAGTACTGTAAACCAGTGATATTTTATTAATAATTTTGACTGTTTCAATCAGTAATATTAAATTACAATTAATCTCTCTATCTATTTTATATAAAATTAAAGATTTTATTTGCATTTATTAAATATTTATTACATTAAAAATTTTATTTTATTTATATTACATGCATATTCAACTTGTTATTTTAGATAACGAATAAATAATTTTCATTAAGTCGCCAGACATTTATTTGTCCGACTTATAAAATCGATTTAATATCTGAAGCCTCTCTATTGAGATTGTATGTCAGAAATTAAATCGAAGTAATATTTTTAATTGTATCTATCGCTCTTTGCAAACTTTATATAATTCTTATGACTAAAAAACTTAAATACGAGAGATAGCGATCATAGCGGTAAATGAACTAGTGATTACTGATTTTACAATGAAATTTACTGATTTTACAGCGAATTTTACTTTAACTGATCATAATCAGAGATATAAGATAAAATAACAAAAAATCAGTGTTTCCACTGAAGATCAGTAAAATACTCACTGATTCTCTGAGTGAAATCTTATTTTACTGTTTAAATTAGTATAAATATTTTCACTTTTGGAGAGAGCGTTTTATAAATGTGCATGTTAGTTGCGTTCATAAAAACGCGATTGTTCGCGATTAAAATCTACGAGTCGTTTTTATCGACAAAAAGTATAACAAATGTACCAAATTGCGGATTACTTCAAAATTAAATACAAATATTTTGATTAATTGTAACGGCATACTCACAAAAAATATTATTTCTATACGATGCAGCAATCGAATGCATCGACATTGTATTTCACGAGATCCTAGGAGAGAAGTTCTATTTGAATATAGTGACGTTATTCGATCGTATAAATGTCATCATTCGTATCGTTATTTACGAATGCCAATACCACATAAATATTACGCTCAAATGAACGATAGAAACGAAAGGTTTTACGCGGAAATATTTCACGCTTATCCACATAAGTACGTTTAAGGTGTAGAATCCTTATAAATTCGAGCAGAGCTTAAAATCCTTACACGAGTAAACTTCTTCGGATAAAGGATAAAGAAAATACGAGTAAGAACAAGACAAATTTAATGATTCATTGCGATACGGTGACATTATTCTAACAACGGAAATAAATTATGCAATTGCGTTACCGTAAAATCGAGTGCAGCAGGCAGCTATATTAAATTACGACTAGACTTCAGTTGTGAAATTCGCCAAGTTTTGACGATTTACGGTGGATAATACTTATTAATGTAAAGCTATATCGCACAATAAACCATTGAGTCACGCGATCGAATCGAAACGCTAATAAACGTCGAATTAAATTCGTTTCTCGTCAACAGGCGAGAATGTATGATTGTCGCATTGTACCGCTTGCGGTAAAATTTCATAAATCATTGATCAGTCCCATGTGACACGCGTAACACATGTGTAACGACCATATTGTCCACCGCATACAATGCGCAAAACAAGCAGCGTGATGTACTTAGTGATAAAATATGTTCGATACGGTTAATGGCGATGAAAAAAATATCATATAGTTTTATATTCATCAAAATAATTGAAATGCAAAGAGATTACATATGTATATATATATATATATATATATATATATATATATATCAAACATACGATACAAATAATATCGAGGCAAAAATCAATAGCGCGATGCAATATTAAACTAGAGTGTGCGAGAAGGAATTTAAATATTTCAGAAACTTTCTCATACATGTAGGATGAGATATAATATATTACGTAAAAAATGATTACCATACTCGAAGTTGCTTCCGGATATCTGACTATTTAAAGTATAATTTAATTTTCACATAAATTAACAACACAGGTAATGGTATACGAATAGAAACTTCTCGTGACATCTTTACGTGTCATTGTACGAATGCAAATTCAACATTGTATATTTTGCATCGAAATATAATCCATTATAGGTATCTCATCTTTCCGGTTTGAATGCATCATATAATATTTGCTGCAGATGTAAAAGCGCGGCGGATCTTGTACAGAAATGGAAAAAACATGACGATAAACCTGATCTCTTTTGGAATATAATAAAAGTCTGATGTTTTTAACATTTCGCGCGAATATAGGCACATCGCGCATTCAGGCGTATCTATTAATGATAATATAAACTTTTTTCAATTGCAAATTTTCTTTTGAAACGATATTATGTTTTCTTATGTAAATAATTCTATAGGAAAGTAATATATAACATGATTATAGCTATATTTATGTCGCAGCAACATGTAAATCCTTTCGAGCTCGCATTTTTACGAGAGACATTCTAGAAAAATATATAAACTTGAGAATATATATTACTCATAACAATCACACGAATATCGAGAGAAAGAGGATTATAAAGTTTTGAATATATCTTTACTAAGCATATGTCACACGTGACGCATAAATTTTAAACATAAACAATTGGAATTTCGTTAAAATTTCAACATTTACGACATTTCACGGAAACACGAATATCACGTTGATTTGAATTTCATTTAAAGTGTCATTTATCAGTTAATTTGTGAATTTCATTTAAAGTGTAACACAGATACGGGCAAATAAAATTTCTCAAATAACTGCACGTTGTTACATTTATCGTTCTGTTTGTCAGTCACGATTAAAACGCAAAAACACCATTCCGGTCATCTGTCAGTGTGGAGGGCGGCAATAAATCGTGATATTGAATCTTTTACGCAACTGTGATACGTATCGGCAGGGATTATGGTGAAGCACGTCCACGTATACCAACATATGTAAAAAAGAAACGGGCATATGTATTCGTTCGTCCGGCTAAAACCGGTCAGTGGATATGCGTCTCCTCTCGCGCTTCTTTCCGTCCTTGATCCGTTAGTTGCTCTAAGTAATTCTTGCGCGGTATCTGCCTTTCGACCGGGTCAGCGCGAGATTCTCCGCGTTTCGTCCCATTCTCAGTCTGGACTCATTATGATGGTACACGTCGAGGAAGGAGGATGCGCTTCTACGGCGCAACAAAAGCCGTTGTTGCAACAAGGCAACAATCCGTTGCAAAACGGTTTAAAATCAAAGGATACTGGATCGTGGACAAAATCGTACGAGGAGCTTATCTCCACTTGGACGTTATGGAGTGTTTATAAATCGCGAAGATACAGTGAGTGTTGGAAAAAACGTAATGTTTACACATTCATCGATCACCAATTTTACCGGTAGTTATTTTAAAAAAAGAAAACGGAAATGTATGTGAGCAGCATTCCTCGAATTTTGTTCAACCTAAAAACCTTCTTAAAACAAGTGTATATAAAAAAATATGAATGTATTTAAAAATTAAAAAATAAATACTGATAAAAATATACACACATATATAATATTATGAATAATATAATCAATTAATAATATAATCAATGGATTTTATGAATATGTTCATGTGCAAAAGTAATAGATGTACATAATGTAATTATTTATGTCGGAATATTTCATACATTATTCACGTGAGATTGATTTGTAATTACAAAGTTAAATTGATATTAATATTGAAATTAATTAAAATATTAACATACTAAAGGCAAAATTGGGAAAATTACTCGCATATTAATTGATTTGTTCATAAAATAAATTAGTTCTTGAAAATATTGTAAGATGTAAAAATAATTTGATATCAAAATAAAAGGGGTTAAAAAATTGATATATTTTAAAATATATCTCGACTTCCAAAAATGCGATATACACACGTGGTGTTGTTGATCATAAATTACCAAATATGGACAGAAGTTATCAGCCTATAAATAATAATAATGTTTTTCAGGGGACAGACAAATAAATGTGTATGTGTATATGGTACATGGTGCGTGTGCGTGTGACCGCCCCACTTTTATACATTCTAGGAAGTTGCATGAAACTTACTCAAAGTATTATCAAGGTCACAAACTATAAAAATATTTCGGGCAATGACATTGAGCCATACGCTTGATGTTATCGTGTCGCGAGTGATTATGGACAATTCGCGATTTATACCTCGTGCCAATCGTACGACTCGAGTTTATCAGCCGATACGAGATTTCACGGGCGCTTTGAATGACGATAAAATTAGACGTCAAATGATGAACGGTTGTATCGATCGCCGACATTGATTTCACACGATTATCGTTGTGTTACAGGCAACGAGATGAATTACAAAGGCAGCGGGAAGGTTCACTTCGGGGTGGATGATGTGTCTCTTTATGGCACCCCGAAGGAGGAGCCGGGCCCGGGCCTCCCGGGCCAGGAAGTCAAGCAGAGTTTCTTGAAGAATCAACTTCAGGCTCTGTTCCAGCCGACGGACAACAAGTTGGCTATGAAGCTCTTCGGCAGCAAGAAGGCGCTTATGAAGGAACGAATCAGGCAAAAAGCCGCAGGTCACTGGGTCATCCATCCTTGCTCCAGTTTTCGGTAAGTCCTCTGCCTATCAGCTGATCTCATTCAACAGGCATCAATATTTCGCGCTATCGCATTCGTTCCGGTTGGAAAACACGTCCTACTAAGAAATACCGGTTTCAGGTACAACCTCATATCTAAGTCTGCCCGAATAAACTCGCGCGTGAGATCCGTCCCGTGTACTTTATAAAAGAGAAAAATGTCTGTATAATATTTGTGTTTTACGAGACATAAAAATTCGCTTAATTTTGCCGAGGAATAATAAAAAATAACTAATTAAAATTATAATTAAACAAAGTACAAAAAACTTATAATAACATTATTTTAAAATATTTATTTTTTTACACGAGAGTGAAGAATATAAAATGCTTTTTTTCAAATAGTTCATAAATAATCGACAACTGGGAAATATATTTTTACCACAAAACCGATTATCTATACAAACTGTCAAAAAAGTTTTGACGTGCATTTATTACCAGTAGATATCTTAAAAAGAAACAGTTAAAATAAATGATTATTATTTTTTATATTTATCGAATCGGTAGAAAATCAATTATATCATTTTCTGATTTGGAGTAATAAAAATTTTAATTTCAACAATTACTCTCATTAAATATATAAACGTATATTATTAGATAAATTTGTTATAATTAAGTCCGCATATTATAACGCGTGAAACATCGCGATAGTGGAAAATGATAAATGACAAAGTGGCTCGAGTGGACGAACATAGATCACCGAGTCGTGTCAGTTTACCCGCAAACTTTTCGGCTTGACTGCGACCCGGGGCTTCAACAAAGTGAACTAACGTCTTTGTGCGACAATAAAATATCTGTATCCGTATCGCGGATCGCTCAGTCTGTCGAGTAGAGCGCGTCGCAGGACAGATTTCGAGGATCACAAAAGGGCGCGTTTGACCTATACAACGAGCCTACGAGCAGCTCACACACGTCGCTCGCGGCTTCGATCGATCTGGGTCGCGCGGAATATTCAATGGCTCTGCACAAGAATCACGGATCTAGTCATATACATGCAGATGTGCATACAGCCGCGAGGCAGCCGTGCTCGTCCTGACGAAATAGTGCGGGTCTTTACTGCCTCAGGAAAAGGCCTCTTTTAGGCCTCTCGCTTCCTGCTAGTGTTGCCTTATCGAATGGCGAACCACAATTCGTCCGAATGTGTGCTATCGACTCCTCGCGGAGGATCTTGGCGCCCTCGCCAAGTCTTTTATGTGTACGTGTCCGCTTAAGGACAAATGTATCGATTAGAATGACAATAAGGGTTCAAGAGTGCCTGTCTACCGATATAATAAATGGACGTTGTCCGATTAACGGTAATTCCTGCGGAATTGGTTATTAATCTTCAGTCTTCAGGGGAAAAATTGTGAAATAAATAAAATATTTTTCGCGAGTTCATATCAGCGAAAGTTATTTATCTGAATAACACAACGTTGAGAAACGGAAATATCAAAGTTCGGAGAATTTATTTTTAACCGCAGTGCTAAATATAATTCTATTCTCTTTCTTCCAAGTAATAACATTTAAAGCTCGATAAACTATAACTTCTTCCTATTTAATCACTTTAAAATAGATCGAGATATATATAAGACAGATCGCATGATTCATTTCCGATGAGCGCGTGCTTTATGAAAAAGATCGTAATTTTTAATTTCCTGTCCAGCCACCCACGCGAGCGATTTTTAATCCTTAGGAAAAAAAATTCTTGATTGCGGGAAGAATTAACATAATGAATCGCGCGCGGTACGATTGAAAGCGAGCGAGCGATGCTGCAAATGACTGTATCAAATGGCTATGATATTAAACGTGCATAGTGAATAGAGGCCGCCGTTTAATATAACGCGCGAAATACTATACTAGACAGCAACGGCATTTGTCGTTCAATTGGCTGAAATTACCCGGCGCTTCCGTTCGGAATCTTGGCTATTACCGGTAACGCGCGGAAGACATCGGGTCCTCGCAATATCCTCTACGATTCCGCCAGACCGAGAGAATCTCGTGGGCATTGAAACTTTAATTCGCGCCTCCGCGAATTTAATGCTAACGATATTTTCCGAGAGGCTCCGCGACAGAACGAGCATAAGCGATGACTATCGTTAGCCTCGCGCGACGTCTAACGCTAATATCCAGCTGCTAAATTATGCAGATAATCATCAACGATGCTCCATTTTCCGATCGGCATTGTATAGATCAAGTATCTGCATAATAGGACTCAGAAGCTCTCCATCTTACCCGAATGTAACACAATCGAATTAATAGTTTCATTATTTAAACGTGCTCTCTTTTATTAACAATTGTCTATAGTAATTTTAAAAATTTTGTTAAAAATGTAATTTTAATTTTGTGATGTATTTACAACACAAACGAAAACCGGAGCAATATATTTTAAAAAATTCTCGGATATTATCTTTATATCTAATATATATGTAATATAAACGTAATAAAATATAAATTAGATCAAATACGATATATTACATATTAAACATATACGTGTATTTCTTTAAGAGATATCAACTTTGTCATACATATATACGTGTAATATAACAATTTTAGTTTCTTCTTAAACAGAGACATAAAATATAAATTTTTTTATTTAATATGATAAAAATTAATTCTATTTTGAAATTCTATTTTAATGATATTCTGATGTATAATATAATATTCTGATAATTATTCTAATTTGTAAAGATGGGAAAACATTAAAATAAATATTAAAAAAATCGGAAAGCTGTTTCACATAATTTAGACACTTAAATGAATGTGCTCTTTGATCTTTAAGCCTGAATATAAATGAAGCCGAAATATCCGATAACACGTGCCACATAGTCGGTTGTAATGTCACTCCGTCAGCAGTTCATTATCCCGAACATCCTGAACATGTGCATGGCTCTGTAGTAGATATCGCGTTAATGGAAATCCATCCATGAGCAATTAACAAGGACCGTTGATACGACATTGATACGAGCTGGTCGAATTTTCTATACTTGAGTGTTTAAACATATCTCTTGAGAGCAAAATGTAGACAAAAGAAACGATTCAATACCGATACAAAATTGTTGTATTCCTTCTCAATCACAGATATTGAAAAGAAAAATAAGAAACAGCAAGATGATAATTGTAAACTTATTTAATATACTCGGAAATATAGTTTTTATTACAGTAAAATAGTTTTTCAGATAGTTTCCATCAATTTTCAATTTAAATGAAATTGAAAAACTTGGTTACGTCAAAATATTGAGTACCGCATATTACAAATTTACAACAAGCAATGCTGATAATATAATTTCCTTCTTTTTGATATACGACCACTAAATTGCTATCCTTCGTTTTCGAATGTTTCATGAATTCGTAATTCATGGAGTGCTTGCCTCGCACTACGTGATATTCATAATGTATGCATATCTGACAGTATCTGACGACATATTGCGAAATTAGATGAAAATATTGTTGCACGTGCAGTCTGAAAGAAGACTGAAGACGACGAAGGCTGCACAATGAGGAAATTTTTGTTCTTACATCGAAACAAAATTGTGTGTGTGTATGTATATGTGTTTCCTTTATGAAACAAAACGTATATACTCTGTTAACCGGAACTGCTGCGGCGAATATAACTTGACGGCTGAGACTCTGTCAAGAGGATACTCTCTCTCGAAAGAAGGACTTCCAGTAAATATGAGAAATCATAAAAGCGAACATAAACTCTATACTTGACCCCGAACGGTGTAGTTCTTTTTCTTTGCGTTGTGTTAAATAATATAAAAATTGCAGCTTTACGAAGGAAATATGCTTGATTTATCGATGATAATAAGATATGTAAAACTGATCTCAGAAGTCGAATGATTTATCGCTTACCGGCATGACATCGATTCCAGGTATTTATGCATGTAATATTTTCATTTTTCCGATTCGCGAGAAAAAAAATTATACCTTATGAGATATAGTTTTCTTCCTTTCAAGAGAAAACTGAAATTCTTTCTCATAAATTTTGTACATAAAACATTGAATAATTTTTTAATATATTACATTTCTTCTTACATCTTAATAAAGTTATTACCGAAATGCATCATTATATATCGGTCCACTCATTTGTCTGAAAATAAAGAAGAAGAAAATAAAGAAAATGTACTTAAGTAGCAATTATGCAGACATTGAAATTGTCGGACAAATTGTCTATTTCCTGAAGTACTAGATTTGAATAAAAGCGCGAAAATATAAAACGAAGCACCAATTATTTTTGTGCTTCGAAGTAAAATGTATTTATAGCATCGTCAAATAAAAAGGATGACGTTTTCAATGTCGGAAACAGTCAACAGTCGTTAAAACGTTGGTCGTAGTTCGCGTGATACAATGTGTATTTTATGCGTACTTGTTCCGGTGAAAACCAATTAAAAAATATATATTATCTTGTTTGTGCAAAGTTCGACATTTAAAAAAAGAACAATTACTGTTATCTGAACGATCATTGTTACTCAATTTATCGCGTTATTACATTACGATAATATCGAGTGACATCGAATTGAAACGCAATTATCCATCTTCAGTCCATTATGACTTTCATTAAAATAACTTCTTCTGAAATAATTAGCGATTAAAACGACATTCCAAACGATTGACTTCAGCAGCGTCACACCTCTTGTACAACGAGGAAAAACATCACGATAAAATGCAACAGTCGAATCATAAATTACTTTGGATTGGTCAATCGATTTTCCCGAAGCAAAATTGCGGTGAAACATTATAAAGTATCTAATATCGAAGTAAAAATAAAACAATCTAATATAAGATTCGTTGGAAATAATGTAATCGACCAAAACTAGCCAAAAAATTTTTTATTTATTTGTTTATTTTGTTGTTAGTAACAAATAAATAAAAAATTTTTTGGCTAGTTTTGGTCAATTACATTATTTCCAACGAGCCTTTGATTAATTGACTAGCGATATTAAGATAATTTATACAATCTAATATATTAGTCTATATAATTCCCCTCTTTCTCATAAA